AGCTTTATGTCACAGCCTCAAAGTGAACTGATACATGGAATCATCCTGAAAGTTCACTAAAGAGCAGTGGTTTATAGACATGGGTAGTTGGACAGGTGATGTTGGCACTAGTTTGGCAACACTGGTCACTTGCAAGCAAGATGGATTCCAATCTATGATAGATTTGCATTAAATAAATAAACCTACCAACAATTTTTCACATGGTTTGGCAGTCATCCAAGTTTGACATGGTGTCATGGTAGAAGATTATGTATGTATCCTCTAATTCTGTCAGCAGGTTTTGGTGGAAGCTTTAAGCTTTTTTAAAGCATTTGATAGTGGATAAAACTTGACATGATTCACATCTTGAGCTTCATTCAGATCTTCCATTTGGATCATTGAAGAGCCATACAGTTTAACATGATTCACATCATGTTTGCTGAGGTCCATGGTTCTACTATAATCAGAGGCATAAATCACAACCTAGTTACTATTTTGACCAAGATGGAACTTGTGGAATCTCCCTCAATGATTGGAATCTTCTTCTCTTTGGATGGTTTGGCACAATTTGCTTGGATTCATCACCTCACTAGTCTATTGGAGAATCAATCTTCTTTAACATGGTAGGTCAATTATGTAGAATTTCCCAAAACTTCTTAATGTTATTTCTGGCACTGATTCTATTACCTACAGAGAAAGTTCACAGCTTAGAAGTTGGCCTTCAGCAGCTTTCATTAATCTCAGTCCATTAAATATGAGGCAAGTAGGATTTGGGTGACACCAATTTCAACATATTCTTTAGCTGTAAGCTTGTGGATGATTGAGGAAAACCTGCACATAATCACAAACAAATGAAAACAAATAGGCTGTTGAGGAAGATGGTGAGAACCAATTGAGCTGGACCATCTCATCAGGCTTTTAATGTCAGCAAATCTGCATTCAGATTTCACAATAACATTGAGTAGTTGATTGACACATCATGATAAATGCATTAAATGGTGAGGCCCAAATGATAGATAATCTAAGGCTATAATATTTCATCATCTGCTTGTTTTGTTCTGACCCCATATGATTGCATCTCCCTTGTTAATGTCACTGTTAGAAGGTATTAGAAAGTATTTGCTGCATTAGACTATGGTATTAAGCTTAGACCATATCTAGTCTTAGAAGCTTAGAACATAACATATATTGTCCTCTTTTAGAAGTGAGCATGTGGTTCATCTCACTTTAACAGGTTAGATCTAAAAACAGAGGAAACCTCAAAGATTTGTGGTATGAATAATCTGTAAGGAAAAAATTTGCTGCATCATTGGCAGAGAATTAAAATGCTGTAACCTTTGTAACTATTGGTTGTTTATAACACTGTGTTCTTTGAAGTGTATTTGAATTGACAAAGATAATACTCAATTCATAGTAATTCTCTTACATTTGTTGTCTCTGAATTATTTGGTGACAAGCAGAAAATGTGTCAAAATATAAAGGGATAATCCATCTGGATCAAGTCATTTTTTCTTTGAGGTAACTTCAAGTACATCAATCCAGTATACTTAGAGCACATGTAAATTTGGTATGCAGTTCCAATTCTGCAAAACAACCATAATTGATCACACTAAATTTTGACATGACAACCAAATTACAAGTCCAGTGTATGTAAACAAACATACAAATAATTTATATGTAACACAGAATCAAGAGGAGGCTTTCTGCATCTGACCTTGGTAGCCTTTCCATTAAACCTGTGCCAGCTGGTGTCATTTCCCATTAATCATCAACCTCACTCTTCTTCTGTCTCAGTAACATTTGTGTTGAGATGCCCATTAAGCTTATCCACCATAAACAAAAAAGAAAGCTTCCTATATTGCATGGAACAGGAACTTATAATAACTGGACATGTATGTGGGCAACTTGGAATGAGTGATATAAATAGGAGGTATATTCTTGTTCTAATTGCTCACCAACCTCATCAAAACCTCAAAAAGGATTCCATGTTGATGCCAGAGACCTCTGTGTTAAGTAAGCCCCCAAACTCCCTTCACCAAAATTTGGCACCACCTCTCCCTTTGGGTCATCCTCCAGCTTGGTGAGGTTGTTCAGAACTGATCTCAGGACCTTCCTGTCACCAGTGAGATGATTCAATCCAGAGCTTGGGTCAGGCAAGCCACCTGTTTGTGCCAAGCATCTTGGTAGGGGCATGTCCCTCTCCACTGGGGGCAGGTGTGGGGCCAAGTTTGGGGCTGTGCTGGAGAAGCAGGGCACCTGCTCAAACCCCTCCAAGTTGAGTGGGGTTTGGTCAAGGGTGATGTAGTTGTCCATCAGAGCAGGGAGGGATTGGGGGCTTGAATCATCATGGCTTGTCTCCATGCTTGGCTTGGTGGACATCCCTCTGCTCTTGTAGAACACTCTACATAGGACCCAATCTTCCTGCTTGCACAATCAAAAAGGAAGTGTCATAGTCCATGTGCTGAAAGTACTGACTCAAACTTGAGAAATCTCAAAGCTTTGTGATGAACAGTGTATAGAATTAACTATTTTGGCAGTCGAGCACTTCAGTCGACCTCCTTCCATTCAGATATTGTGTTGAAGATGAAACAGAATTAGCATGGTGAGAAAAAATTAGCAACTTGTTCTACTCCAGAACTCAAGTCAGAGATTTATTAGGGGAAACTGATTCTTGAAGCTTTGAGATGATTAAATTCCAGAATACAGTAAAAAACAATTGTGCCAATTTGTGATCTGCTTCCTTTTCATTTTTCTTGTTCTTTAGCTCCACTAGTGTCTTATAATTCATCCCACTGTTCCAACTCTAATTAGATTCATTGGGCAGAAGAGATGCATGATCTAATCAATGTAAATATCTTAATCTTCTTGTCATATTTTAATTTATGTGCAAAAAAAGCTTTTAGATTGTTTGGTTAAGAATCTAAGCTCCTAACAGGGGATTCCACAAAGATGTATTGTATGCCTAGCATCTCTTACTAGCTAAAACAACCCACAGAATGATCATCCTCCCTGTCAAAAACCAATTTTCTATTAAGCCAAAAGATCAATTCATCCAACAAGACCAGTGATTAGAAAGCACCAAAAACAATTACAGTAAGAACAGTACATATAGCAGAGAGATGTCTTTGGAGATTCTCCCTGTCTACTAATTTTCTTTAAGCCAAAAGATCAATTTATCTAACAAGATAATTAATTAGAGAGAGAGAGAGAGAGGATAGATTGTGCTCGCTGCAGAAAAGTGATAAGGTCTAAAGAGTCGAGATCAAAAGGTCACCTTGAAGGGCAAGTTTGGAGTTGCAGCAGATTCTTCCATGCGGTATTCATGCATGACCCACTCCGTCTTCTTGCCCTTGGGAGCTCTTCCTTGATAGAACACCAAAGTCTTCCTCATTCCCACAAGGAATCCCTTCCGAGCCACCGATCGATCCTTCCCGGTCGCTTTCCAGTAGCCTGACATGGTGGCGCGATTGGTTCGCTGCCCCGTCGCGTACTTTCGATCTCGGAGACTGAAGAAGTACCACTCCTTGCCCCCGACACATGCAGTAGCTGATCCACCAGAAAAATTCACCAAGTGAGGAGCTTGTGGATGGGAATGCAAAGGCAAGTTGCAGTGGGATCAAACTCCATGACAGAGAGAGATCGCTCATCATGGCGTCCCGATGGCTGGTGGATTGGCACATCGACGTCCCAAAGAAGCGTCGATGTGTCAGCATCAAGCGGGGTGGACGAACACGTGTGTGGTCCACTGGAGGTCGACGAACACACTCTCTCGAATGGACATTTAGTGCCGTGAATCCATGGACGTGCTCAGAAAGCATTCTTTCAGCTAAAAGACCAGATTTTGCAGCAGGTTAAGGTGAGAAAGCCAACGCCTTGTTTCCTCTCTTCTCTCCCAAAAGCGAAGTCGAGATGTGGAAAGAAGGAATAAAAGGCATGAGGAGGTTAACAAGTGGTGGAAGCTTTCTCTTTCTGTTCTCCTCCTTGTCTAAGCTTCTGATTCATCTCTCATCACGATATGGGCAGAAGGAATAATCCATAAAGAGATGGCGGTCAACATGAAGCAACAGAACACATGAAAAGGTTGGAAAGTAAGGGGGAAAGCTTCGTGCAAGAACAATTTCCGTTGTTGGGAAGGCCAAAAAGGACAGCCATGGAGAGCGAGGTGAAGGGAAACGGAACACAGACTCCTGCATGCAAGCATGGCAGCCATGGGAGGGTAGAAGAAGATGAAGAAGATCCAAGCAATTCATGACGGCTAAAACATGATCATGCAACACCAATTTCGACAGGCCCATATGGAATATGATGCCGAGGGATGACAACTGACCGGGGAGATCCCAAGGTTCGCACTTGTTGAGGTCGACGTCCTCCACCATGATGGGCCAGCCACGGAAGCCGACGCCGCCGTCTCCGGCGAGCTTGGCCGCGAGGTAGTCGCAGATGAGCTCTTCGTCCCTCGGGTGGAATCTGAAGCCCGGAGGTAGCTTCGCCTCCACCATGCTCAAGATGCTCATGGTGGCGTCGATGACAGGGAGCTCACAGACTGCAACCATGGGGTATATATATTAGTACAGGGGGGGGAAGAAGATTGGGTAATGTATTAATTAATAGGGGCAATAAGTCAACTTTTCAAGGGGAATGAATGCAGCCTTAATCTTTTTTTTTCTCATTTTCTTATTTTTTTCTTCTCAAGAAAAACAAAAAACAAAAAACTCATCCTTCTTACTTGGCATGCTGACATGGCCCGCGAGACTTTGTTTCTCGGAAAAAAAAAAGATTTTACTATCAAGATCTTTATCGGCTAAATTAAATAGTATCATGAAATCAATGCAATCCACAATTATTTTTTTGATAATTGAAAGAAGGAAAGTGGCCATTCATACTTGTCATCCTGCATAGTGGGATATGACACAGGAGTAGTTGCTCAATTTGCTTGCTTCTGGGTTCAACATCACCACCAGTGTTGATCACTAGCAGTTGAACCACTAGTATTCTCACTACATCGCATTCACAGACACAGATTTGAATGGTTAAGCAGTGGAATGAAAAATGTCAATCACACATTCAGAATGATTTTTAAGGATAAGTCACAAGTTACAATCCATCAGAAAGTAGAATCCAGTTTTGATTACAAGAAATTGTGTGTTGTCGTGACTTTGGCATCCGAGCACACCTGTCCTCAGTGTTGTCGTCTAATGGAAGATGAAAGGGGCCATCACCCATCCAGCAGAGGTGGAAGATGAACCTAAGCAGTTTGGACAATGTCTGATGCTTGTGGCCATGGCTCTGCATAAAAATCCATGATGCTCCAATCACATGGCACAGCAATGGCAGGGAGCCAGGTGGCCTGCACCAGCCAGCCATCATCCATCCCCATCCTGATTAACCGATCAAGATCAGTGACACACAAACAGAAGACAGCATCGATCCAACGGTTTCAGGCGTCAGTGAAGGCATCTCCAGAAAGCGAAGAGCGGTTCCAGGAGCAGTATCAGCTTGGAAGAGAAAGAAGAGTGTCCATGCCCATGTCAGCTGGGATGAGATCAGTCCAAGTGTAGTCTCTGTTACACAAAAGTGATGAGAAGATGACTCCAGCTCGCAAAGAGATAAGGTTTGAGGTGATTCTTACCTTGGTAGTGTTCGGTCGGTTTGAATAGTCTCCAAAACAATAGCTGCCAGTCCTTTCTCCCATCCCTATGATAGCTCCATTGCTGTCAGGTAGTAGTGAAGGTAACATGGCCAATCCAAAAGACCCTGATTTGCCAAAACCATTATTGGATGGTGAAAGATTTACCTAGTGCAGCCTATCGGATGGGCAACCACATTAACAGCTTGCTAGGAATCAGACCATAGAAAATGCGCTCCAGGTCCTGGTCAAACCTGTCATCAGCCACTAGTCAGAGAGACTTTTCAGTTACCTTCCCATAAGTGATCAAAATTTCAGAAAAATATACCCACACTTCACCATTACTTTAAATCAACTTTTAAGATGATTCCTTAGATCTATCATGCATATCACAACTTTTTCCTATTAAAAACCTTACGGAGCAAGATTTCTACTTTGGATTTGCTTGCCTCACTTGGCACTTGAGTATGCTCGACTTTTATAGAGAGATCAATAGCTCCAGCGAACAATAAAGTTGCTGATGTATCAACCAATTTTTTTAGGACATCTGGTTCCACTCAGGAAAATCGAATCCCTAATAATCTAGTAGATATTTTCACTCTCATCTATTGCATCTATCCTATAACTAATGAAGTCTACTTCCTTATATATA